CTTAATGGATTTGCATTTTGGTGTGTATTATTTTATTTAATAATATGTGCATAATACATGAAGTTTACATGTATTAAAGAATTTGTAAAAATATACATATATGAAACGTGAATAATGTGTAAATACATGCACTATATGCAAATTTTATAACTAGGCTTTCAAAGGATTATCCACACCATTGAAGAGAGCGCGTCAATTTTTGGGAAATGAAAACTGATTACCATTAACAAGTCTTTAACTTGGTTTTTCACCTTTTGGTTTTCTTTTGGTAGTAATTAGGCCGTGCCCCTTCGTCTTTGCACGATTGCCATTTTGTTATGGTTCATTTCATGTCTAAGGCTCTAAGCAGCCAATCAAAAGATTTTGTGAAATTAGGTCGTCTCCGCATAATTTGAGTAAACTTTTCCTTTTTTTTTGTTAGGGTAAAGCATATTTGAACAGACTTTAGTTGTAAGTGGGGATGATAAAAGGTTGAGGGCATGTTTATGTATCAGTAATAAAAAAACTAAGGAATCAGAGAATTTAGGAATCGGAGAACTACTGAATCGGTATGGGAAGAATCATTCTTATTAAGCTGTTTACTAAACATATGGAATTAGCAATGGAATGGGATTTATTCCCATTGTTATTGTTTACCAATTTGGATGAATCAGAATCCAAATTAATTTTAGAATTATGGTAAAGTGATAAGGGTATTTTTAGAAGTTATTAAGAGAAAACAGGAATGGGAATCGTATCGACTACTCCCCCCTAGTTGATCTGATTCATAGTTTTGAGGGAATGTGATTACGGATTTTGAGGTGGGGCCCACTTATTTTTTCATTCCTGATTGCAAGTAAACGCAGGAAAAGTCAGGAATGGAAATCATTCCCTTTCCTCTCATTCCCATTACTGATACGTAAACATGCCCTGAAAGTAGGTTGGTGGGTAAAGCTAAACGACATGCAAGGTTGTTATATAATGTGAACTTGAATCCAAGATTATAGAGCTCTTTGGTTCGAAATTTCCTCAGCATATCTTCATGTCTATGGTCGGACCAAACGTCCAATCCAAGATTATGGAGAATTCCTCTTCCAACCTAGAAATCAACATGAACATACAAGAGCATAGGCCATAGAAATCATCTGCTTTCTTCCACTGGACCCAGTCAATACTTACCACAAAATCCAAGTCGGAAACCAACATGTAGACTGTAGCCGGGCTCACTGGACAAGTTGGGCAAGACTTCAAAGTCAACAAGTCAATACATAAAGCAACCTCACAATGTTCTCAATCCGACATGTCAATATCTCAGTCATGTGACAAATTTTCCATACTTCACACACTATTGCAAAAGTGTGTAATAAGTAATGCACTGAGAATTTATGGGTTAAAATCTCTGGTGTTCGGGAAGCAGTAGCAAAAAGTACTGGATGCATGATGCAGAAAATTGATATAGCACAATTATTCTGTTAAACCCAATTGCTTGGGGAGCAACAAAGCCTAGTACAACCTTCTGTCCAAATTATGTTAAACCTTATAGAACGCCAATAATAAATATTAAGTTTAATTGTCAATAGGGTCTTCGATGCCTTTTTGCACATCATTATTAAGGCTACAATTAATTTTCTTTTGTCCTATTTCCCTGTTACTATTGAAAGATTAGATATTGGTAGAAGACTTCAAAGTCAAGCCAGCAGCAACCACAAAGATCTAATCTCATCAAAGCTAGGAGGTTCTCGTTGAACAATAAGAACCAATCAAGCCTTCTAAACCCAATTTCTAACAGACAGTGAAGAAGAATATAAACAATTCAAACTAATGTTGTAGCTAGTAAGGGTTTAATCCAAAATGTCAAGAATCTTATTATTTTAGAATCTCATTTGAAAAGTTGCAACTAAAGTGCAATTAACCCTTGTTTCTTTTAATATCCAAATGTGTTGTGTTCTACATTTTGACTCATGTGTTCTTTCCCGCCCCCCCACCAAAAAATGTCTTCGTCAAACAATTCGTAGAGCCATTTGGATTCAGGTTATATGGTAGCGTAAGCTGATGGGAGATGTGTTGTTTTTAGGCATAGGTGCCGAAGTAATAGTTATTGCTATTTCGTTTTGGCAGGGATTTATTGTTTCCCTGTCCTTGTGGGATTTGATGTTGGATTGCTTGTTCTAAGTCTGCTTTTCTCTTTTTCTTCCCTGTGTTGTACATGCATTAGTTACGCATCTTTCTTTCCCCTTCAAAAGGAGATCTTATCTTCTCCTTTTTTTTCTCAATTTGAAATTAGGGAACGTTGTGGAATTTTGTAGCAGCTCTCTTATGCAAATAATACTTTTTTCAGCAAACAGAAATAGGTTTGTGCAAGTAATTAATGTTCATATTGTGAAACTATCAATTTGAACCAGAGTTTGTAAAAGAACTCTGCTTTAATTCTTGCACCACTAGAGGTATGTTTGGCACTATTCATATTGATTTGTTGAGTTGTTTTAGTTATTGGAGTCTAGTCTTGCATAATCTACTTTTTATGTGATTTCAGCCTCAAAACATTTAGGCTAGTGACAAGAACTTTGGAACTTTTGGTTGGCAAAGATGCACTTGATTTTGGCCAGGTCTTCAATCTTCATAACATTTAGGCTGCTGACAAGGTTTAGAAGTTTATATTTAAATTTAAGTATATTTCTTTGGTACTACGTTCAGTTTTTATTTGAGGTTGAAATCAACCTAAATGTTGTATTAGTCATGATTATGTCTCAATCTGATACAAACTTAGGAATTTTTATACATAAGGGGAATTTGTAATTTGTTATACACATGCCCTATACTGGGATGCTTCATATTAATATATTTTTGGTTGATATTTTCTTTTCGAGTACAATTTGAATGTGATTTTGTCGATGAGAAAATGTGGTGTACGGTTGAATGACCTCATTATCCACTCTGTAGTGTATTTACCTTGCTAGTATATGGCCCATTCTGTATGTGTGAGATCTCAAACTACTACTAATTTGTTTTCAAAATAAATAAACGCTTTAGACACCAAAGATTTGTGTGCGAAAGTGACACTATTACAAAAGTTAAATCACAATTTGTTCTTGATGTTGTCAGAATAATGATATTTTCCGTGCTCAAAAGTATGAGTTTTTAGGAAGAAAAATAAAATCGTGCCCCTTGATCAAAAGAAACTCCTATGAAAGAAATTGACTTTTTAAAAATGGCTAAACCGTGGCCAACCTCATAAAGCACAAATAATTGTGCCAATTGCATTAAAGAGCACGGATGATAATTATGCCCAAACCCAGATATTATAGTAGTGAGTTTACTTGTATTATTAATTTTTTTGGTAAAAAGATACATACAAAAAATGCGAATAATGTGTAAATATGTCTATAATACAATCATTATATGCAAAATTTTCTAACTAAATTTCAAAGGATTATCCACACCACTAAAGAGATCACGTTAATTTTTTGGAAAATGAAATTCTCAATCTATTGATTATGCATTACATGAGAATAAATAAGATTACCATTAACAATAGTCTTTAACTTGGTTTTTCATTTCTTTTTTTTCTTTTTATAGTAATTTGGCTGTGCCCCTATAATAGACACCTTACCTAATTGAAAAAAGTTAACTGAAGGAAGAGGTCCGATGTCATATAATTGACTACGCTTTTCCTTTTTTTAGTTGTAAGTTGGGACGATAGTGTGAAACTAGGTTGGTAGGTAGGTAAAGCTAAACGATATGCAAGGTTGTTATGGAACTTGAATCCAAGATTATGGAGCTCTTTGGTTCGAAATTTCCTCAGCATCTTCGTGTCTGATGGTCGGATTGGGATACAGAAATCATCTCTTTTCTTTGACTGTGTCATGAGCTCAGACTACTGATCTCGGCCAAGTCAATACTCATCCAAAAATCTTAGTAGGTAGGAAATCATGTAGACTGTAGCCTGGCCCACTACACAAGATAGGGCAAGACTTCAAAGCCAACAAGTCAATCCATAAAGCAACGATCACATCACAATTTCCACATTGTTCTCAATCCGACATGTCAATATCTCAGGTGACAAATTTTCCACAATTCACACACTATTGTATTAAACCGCTTATTTCTAGCAGACACTGACTCATTCCAAAAAAACATAATTTTAGCAATCGACAATGAAATGAAAATGAAGAACATAAACAATTCAAACTAATGTGGTAGCTATAGGGTAGTTAGGAACTAAGGGTTTTCTTTTGTAAGGAATAAATAGATAAATAAAAGAAAGAATAGTAATGGTTATTGACATGGCATGGAAATAATTGGTACCTTATAAATAAATAAAATTGGTAAAAAGTAACTTTTGTTGTCTATATTTTGACGAATTTTGGTAAAAAGTACTTTGAATTTCAGCAATTCGAGTTCTTGTATTTTTGATAAAATTGAAAGAAAATTTGACTGAGTTTATAAAATTGGTAAAAAGTACTTTGAATTGCAAAAGATTTAATTAAAACTATAATGATAAAATTTACATAATCGGAAGATTGAGGTTTGCTTTCTTCTTTTTTTTTTTTTTTTACATAATTAAAAGTTGCTAACTCTTCCATTTGTAGAATAATTAAAGATTTGATTCCTCATTCTCTCCCAATGTATAATTGTTTTATCACTCTATCCATTGCTATTATTTTATCAAAAGCAGCTTTCCATAGAATAAGAAAAAGCTAATGTAAACTATTTAAGAAACCAAACTCTTCGATTGCATGACAGCTGTAACTTGCAATTATAAAGACTAAACAAGTCAAGCTAACCACGAATCTCGTGGAGGCCTTTTTGCTACATCATTATTATTTTTCTCTTGTCCTATTTTCCTGGTTACTACTACAAGATTAGATGTTGGTGGAAGACTTCAAAGTCAAGCCAGCAGCCACGACTAAGATTTAATCTCATCAAAGATAGGAGGTGTCCCTTTTCCACTTGTATTCTACCATGCCTATATATTAAAGCTACCACAACCTTTCTTTCTCATCAGTTGTTTTGTTCACCACTTTCCCTCCCTCACATCAGCTACAAAGTTTTTCCAAAATGAAAACTTTGCTGCATTACTTGTTCCTCCTCTGCTTCAATATCCTCCTCCCTGCAGTTCACAGCCAGTGCATTAAAGACCAGCAACAATCATTGCTCCATTTGAAGAAAAGCCTTCAATTTGATCAACCTTCACGCCAAACCCCGCTCATATCTTGGAATTCAAGCACCGACTGTTGTTCTTGGGTTGGTGTTACTTGCACCAGTGATGGGCATGTTGTTGGTCTTGACCTTAGCAACAAAACTATCTCTGGTCCAATTGTAGGATCCTTTGCCAACTTTTCAAACCTAAGGGTGTTGAATTTGAGTTCGAACACCATCTCTGGTACGGTTCCCGGATTCTTTGCCAATTTTTCAAAGTTGACTTCCTTGAATCTCAGTGGTTGTTGGTTGAATGGAATATTTCCTAACGAGATCTTTCAGGTACCTACTCTACAAACTATTGATCTTTCGGCTAATTTTAAACTTGGTGGTTCCTTGCCAGAATTTCCCAAGAAAATTGGATCTCTTCAGTCCTTGTCTCTAAGCAAGACAAACTTTTCGGGGTCATTGCCTGACTCCATTGGCAACCTCAAAATGTTGTCCACGATAGATCTTTCAAATTGCAGTTTCCATGGATCAATCCCCTCGTCGCTCTTTTCTCTTCCATTATTATCACAACTAAACCTTTCCCACAATCAATTCTCTGGTGAACTTGCAATTTCTAATGTCTCTTCCAACTTAGTTACCCTTGATTTAAGCTTCAACAATTTGGAAGGACAAATATCGGTGTCTATATTTAATTTTCAAGGCCTTCAATCACTTAATCTTTCTTCCAACAATTTCACTGCCTTTCCGTTCAATGGCCCTCAACAGCTGGAAAATCTTACGAACATTGATCTTTCGTACAATAGCTTGTTGAGTTTATACAATGGTACTGATTCCTCATATTCCTCATTTCCTCAACTTGATTCATTGAATTTGGCTGCTAACAAATTGGGAACAATCCCATATTTCTTGAGAAATCAATCCACATTATTCAGTGTGGACCTTTCAGAAAACCATATCCGAGGCAAGATACCCCGTTGGATATGGAGTTTCAATCAACTTTCTACCCTAAATCTTTCTTGTAACTACTTGGTAACACTAGAAGCTCCTTTACTTAATTCTACAGTGAAAACAGTTGACCTTCATTCAAACAAACTTCAGGGGCAAATCCCAACTTTCCTACCATCTGCCAAGTATCTGGATTACTCAAGAAATAATTTCAGCTCTATACCATCAAATATTGGTGATTTCCTCACAAACACACTGTTCTTCTCTCTTTCAAGCAATAACTTGCATGGGCTCATTCCAGCATCAATATGCAATGCCTCAAATCTTCAGATTCTTAATCTGTCCAATAATTCTCTGAGTGGCATGATTACCCAATGCTTGACTGCAATGCGTGATCTCAGTGTACTTAACTTAGCGAGAAACAACCTCATTGGATCTATTTCTAATGTTGAAGTTACTGAAGATAGTTCATTGCAAATTCTAGAGATCGGTGGAAATCAGTTAGGTGGCAAGGTTCCAAAATCTCTAGCTAAATGCATTAAGTTGGAGGTTTTAAACATTGGAAACAATAATATAACAGATAGCTTCCCATGCTTGTTGAAGAACATTTCCACTTTGCGTGTCCTTATTTTGCGCTCCAACAACTTTTATGGAGGCATTGAATGTCTCAACACCAATGGCACCTGGCCAGGGGTTCAAATTATAGACCTAGCTCACAATAATTTCAGTGGTGAAATACAGGGAATACTTTGGAGAACATGGCGGGAAATGATGGCTACCGAAAATGGTTCCCTATCGACAATTGCCTTTGGATCACATACAAAAAGAAAAACCTTGGCCTCGATGACTGCTACAAGCTGCAATCGAGCATCTGATAGATCCTGCCGTGGCTATCAAAATGTTGTTCCTTCTCGTGCAGAATCTTGCCCTTCAGATTCAACTAATAGACTCTGCCATCACTATGCAGTTGCTAGTTCTTCTAATGCATATGCTGGTTCTTCTAATGCAGATGATGGTTATTCTTTAGAGTATAGTGTAAGTGTAACAGTTACTAGCAAAGGTTTAGAGATGGAACTGGTAAAGATTCTATCTATCTTTACCTTGATTGACTTCTCAAGCAACAACTTCAGTGGACCCATACCCACGGAAATAGGAGAATTCAAATCACTATGTGTCCTTAACTTGTCAAGAAATGCATTCACGGGCGAAATCCCATCCAAATTTGGTAACATGCAGGTACTCGAGTCCTTGGACCTGTCACAGAACAAGCTGAGTGGGCGCATTCCACCGCTGTTGGCAGAGCTTACTTTTCTTTCGTTCTTGAATCTCTCATATAATCAACTGGTTGGCAGGATCCCAACCAGTAATCAGTTTTCAACATTTTCAGCATCCTCCTTTATAGGTAACAAAGGACTATGGGGGTTTCCTTTGACGGTGGATAACAAAGCAGGATTTCCACCACCACCAACAATGAATGGAAGGTCTCCAAATTCTGGGCATCATCATGAGGTTAATTGGGATCTTATCAGTGCTGAAATTGGATTTATAGTTGGCTTTGGAGTTGCTGTTGGGTCACTTGTGTCGTGCAAGAGATGGAGAAAGTGGTATTACAGAGCTATGTACAACATCCTTCTCAAGATATTCCCTCAGCTGGAAGATAGAATTGGTATTCATCGAAAACATGTTCACATAAATCAAAGGTGATCGAGATGTTGAATTGATTAGGAGGAACAATGTGAGTTTGGACTCCTTGTTAATTATGCCTAAGGTATTTTAAGATCCAAGAAATAAGAATTGTGCATGCCTTCCTAGTGTGTATTTTTTAGATTACAAAATTAGTTAAATACCCATTCCTAGACATAAAACTATAAATAAACCATATACTATTTAATGTATATAAACACACCTAAAATAAACCCAAAAATCGACAACTGTCAATTTTTTCAATTCAACAGTTATCTTGGATTACGGTTTTGCCCTTTTGCAATTTTGAGAAACAGCCGACTTAAATTTTTTTATATTTAAATCTTTTATTTAATAACAATTATGTTGTAGATTGAAGAGGAATAAGAAGAAGAAGGGCATTGACCATGGCGATGCATGCGCTCATGACTCGTGGAGAAGCTTGTGGCTCCAGGCTCATCTTCTTCCACCAATCCTTTCGATGCTTTAGGCAACGCTCTTATCGGTTCTTCTTCCAAGACTTAGGTTCGTCATTCTTCCTCGTTGCTTCTTTCACTTTCAATTTCTCTTCTCTGTTTTGAATTTTCAATCCTCAAGGGCGTCATTTTCTCAGGCTTTCGTTTGATTCACAAGCAAGACGGTCATGGCCACATCCTGCACCAGATCTGAGAGAAGGCTCACAAGGATGAGCTTAAGAAGAACGAAGAGACCATTTCAAGGTCATCCAAATCATATTGGTATGATCCGGTTTGATTATCGCCGAAATTCGAAGCTCGTTGAGCAGTTTCTTTGCAATTTTGTGATTAATTTGAATATGTCTACGGTTCTTTCCCTTAGTTTTGCATTTCATTTACAAATTGCGATAAATAAATTGATTATAACAAATATACAAATTTATAAATAAACCCAATCCTAGACATGTATTTATAAAAAAACTCAAGCACTATTTAAATATAGAAACACACCCAAAATCAACCCCAAAGTCAACTTTTTGGGTGTGTTTATAAATGGGTTTTGAGTGTGTGTAATGATGGGTTTTGGGTGTGTTTATAAAGTGTTTTGGGTGTTGGGTTTTTTTATAATTTCAACCTCTATTTTGGGTGTTTTAGTGAAACTCCCTAAAAAATATGACACATAACTATGACGTTGTGTTTAATTATATTGAGTCATTGACGTATTGACTGACCTTAGTGAAGTAAAGAGCCACCGAAAAATCCAACTAGACAAATAGGGCAAGACTTGAAAGTCACGAGTCAACTAGTCCATCCATAAAGCAATCTCACAATTCAACAAGTCTTTCTGTTCAATGACATATCAAAATATCTCATGCGACAAATTTTGCACTTGTGCTATAATTACTTATAACCCACGTTATAGGATCCCCCAACCAGTACTCAATTTTCAACATTTCCAAAAGACTTATTTACAAGAAACAAAGGAATATGGGGCCTCCTTTGACAGTGAATAACAAAGAAGAATTATCACCACCACAAGCATTAAATGGAAGCCTTCCAAAGTATGGCCATCGTGGGATTAATTGGGATCTTATCAGCGTTGAAATAGGATTTACAGTTGGCTTTGGAGTTTCCGTTGGGTCACTTGTGTTGTGCAAGAGATGGAGTAAGTGGTATCACAAAGCTATGTACAGGATGATTCTTAAGATATTCCCACAGCTGGAGGAAAGAATTGGAATTCATCGAAGACATGTTCACATAAATCGAAGGTGGAGAGTTGAGGAGCAATGCAGCTGGACTCCAATCCATGTATGCCTGAAGGCTTGGAGATGTCCCTGGCCATCTTTTTCTTTATTTCAAGATACACGAAATAAGCAATGTCCTTCTGCTGTCATATTTTATCTTAGGCTTTTTTTGATCACAAATGGTCCTTAAGGTTTACGAAATTATCACCTTTCGTCTCTAACGTTTTTTTTTTTTTGTGACACTAATGGTCTTTAACGTTATCCTGCACACGTCAAAATGGTCCATGCCGTTAGCGTCTGTCAAATTTTCTATTAAATTGCTGACGTGGCACATGTGTGGTGCCCACACTTATGTGAGGGCAAGAAGATGAACAGCTCGATCTCCATGACCCTTCTTTCTTTGACAGCTTCCACTTCTCATCGAAGTAGAAAGGCGGTGGATGGTGATGAGAACTTGTAGTGGCAGCAGTAGCAGACAGAGAAGCCATAAATGAAAGAAAGAATGGATTTTGTTTGGAAATTGAAAGGTGGGTGCTTTAAAGTTGATATCTTTGATCCCTTGGGGTTTTTTCTGGCTTTGACTTTGGCTTTGATGAACAAAGAAAGAGAAAGACAGAATATAGTAAGTGAGATTTTTTTTAAAAAAAGGGATTTTAAGTTTTAAAATTTATTTTATTTTATTTACAGCCATGTGTCTTTATACTATTGGATGTGTGGGCTCCACACATATGCCACGTCAGCAATTTAACAAAAAATTTGACGGAAGCTAACGATATGGACCATTTTGATGTGTGGAGGATAATGTTAAGGACCATTAGTGTCACAAAAAAAACGTTAGAGACTAAAGGTGATAATTTTGCAAACCTCATGGACCATTTGTGATAAAAAGCTTTTATCTTAATAATCATTTATCTTGTATTATGCAATGTGAGTGCAAAACATATTACTATCGTTTGCTTGCTTAAAATTTTCCATGGTTAAAAGGTTGTCATGACTTTCAAAATAGTTGGAGATGGTCTCATATGCCTCCATCCTATTCCACTACGAAAGCTTGGTCAATTCTCTCTTTTCCTCTGTGCTGTAGAAGGGTTTGTGTAGTTCTTTTTAAGTTTTAAGGATGGTTTGGGAATTTTGTAATCTTAGGTTTTATTTTTTTATTTTTTTATTTTTATAAAGCAAAATAAAATTAAATGAGATATATATTTTTAAACTATTCTAATATATGGCCCTAGAATTTGAGGTAGTTAGGGTTGTTATCCTAGTTTGGGCCATGAGCCATGACTATTGATCTTGACCAATAGTCACCGCATTTTTATTTTATTTTATTTTTTGAGAAAACACTCACCGAAAAATTTAAATAGGAAAGCAACATATGTAGACTGTAGCCGGGCCAACTCGACAGATAGACTTCAAAGTCAACAAGCCAACTAGTCAATCCATAAAGCAAGCTCACAACAATGTTCATAGTCTCAATCCAACGTATATCAACATCTCATGCGACAAATTTTCCATAATTCAAGCTATTGTCAAAGTGTAATTCTAGTTTGGTATTTTGGTTGGTCAATGTTTAAAAATTCTAGTTTAACTTGGGGAGCAAGAGAATTTCTGGGTTAAAATCTGGTGGTTAAATCCATGAAGCAAAAGTACTGCATACATGATACAAATTGATATTGCACAAGTGTAACTTATTCTATTAAACCCGCTAATTACTTGGGGAGCAAGAGAACATAACTACAGCCTTCTGTCCAAATTATATTAGACCAGAAATAACACCAAAAATATAGAAAAATATGGAAACCCAGAGCACGTAGGTGGGATGGGACAGTTTAACTTCACAGAGAAAAACATGAACGTGCATTTATGGGTGTAAGACTTATCATGCATCGACTTTCTTAAACCTCTCTCTCTCTCTCTCTCTCTCTCTCTCTCTCTTGGTGTCAAATTTGTTGGGGCAAAATTCCACGCTTTCTTTTTCCTTGTTACAGACGGAAGAAGACTTCAAAGTCAAGCCAACAGCGACCACAAATACATGATTAATTTCATCAACCTAGGAGGGAGGAGGCCTTTTCTAATTTACCATGCTGCATGGTAGTTCAAGTTAAGACGGAGTCAGTTAGATGGCCGCGTTGTGTTGCGGATAATCCGAAATTTCTACACCTTGACCCTTTGAGGCAAAAGTCCTGACTCTCTCACTGACCACGCATATATATATATATATATATATATATTTACACACACATTAAACCACCACAACCTTTCTTTCTCAAATTCTCATATGTTGTTCATCACTTTCCCTGCCAGCGTCTCCAGAACTAAAAAAGTTATTCAAAATGAGACATTTGCTCCAATATTTCTTCCTCTTATTCTTAATCCCTACAATCTCTTTTACTACCATCCCTGCAGTTCACAGCCTCTGCACTAAACACCAGCAACTATCATTGCTCCATTTGAAGCAAAGCCTTACACCTTATCATCATAAACCTTATTCTCGTTTGTACTCAACAAAGGTTATGTACTGGGATTCAAGAACTGACTGTTGTTTTTGGGATGGTGTTACTTGCAGTAGTGGACATGTTGTTGGTCTTGACCTTAGCGGAGAAACTACCAACACCGGAATTGGCTATCGCTCTCCCATTCCATCTGCAATCGGAAACCTTACCAGTTTGAGGTATCTTGATTTATCAAATTCCAATTTCACTGGATCAATTCCAAAGACAATGGGGAGCCTAAAACAATTGGTTTATTTGAATTTGTCATCAAACATGCTTAATGGTCCAATTGATTTTATTCAGTGGGAAAATCTTGTTAATCTGATAGATCTCCGCTTGTACAACAATCTACTCGAGGGGAGTATTCCATCCTCTATCTTTGCTCTTCCCTTACTGCAATTTTTACTATTTTCCCACAATCAATTCTCTGGTCAACTCCATGAATTTTCTGACGCTTCTTCCTCTTCCTTACTCAGCCTTGATTTGAGTTCCAACAATTTGGAAGGACTAATATCCTCGTCTATCTTTAATTTTCACGCACTTGAAAGCCTTAATCTTTCTTCAAACAATTTCAGTGCCTTTCCTTTTAATGGTCCCCAACAGCTGAAAAATCTTAATGAAATTGATCTTTCGTACAATAGCTTGCTGTTTTTTTATAATGGCACCACTTCCTCATATTCCTCATTTCCAAATATCGTTCGTTTAAATTTGACTTCTAACAAGTTGAGAACAATTCCAGATTTCTTGAGATATCAATCCGGTTTAGTCAAGTTGGACCTTTCACAAAACCAAATTCAAGGCATGATACCTAAATGGATTTGGGGGCTCGATCTTTTCTCCCTAAATCTTTCTTGTAACTCCTTTTCAGGTCATGTACCTAATTTCACTACTTCTGTTGTTGACCTTCATTCAAACCAGCTCCAGGGGCCACTCCCATCACTAACTGCAGAGTAGGGCTCGTCAATGGGCCGGGCCGGGCTAGCCCGGCCCAAATTTAACGGACTTGGGCCGGGCCGGGCCGGACTTTAAAGAGGAGAAAGAAAATATCGGGTTGGGCCGGGCCGGATTTTTTTAGAAAATTCAAAACCCAAGCCCGACCCATAGGTCGGCCTTGAGAAAGCCCATTGGGCCGGGCCGGGCCGAAACGGGCCTACTTCATTCGAAAAAAATCATAAACTTAATCATAAGGGCATTTTTGTCTAAATTTGAGATTAAACTCACTTAATTCCAATATTTTCACAATCAAACCAAATTCATAAAATACTCAATAAAGTCACACAACTTAATAAGATTTTCCACAAAAATAATAAAATAAAGTATTATTTTTGAGGTTATTACATAATTATACCATAATACGTTTTAAGAAATAATTTAAAAAAATAATAAGTATCAAAAAGATATTTTTTTTAAAGGATGGTATAAATAAATATGTAAATGTTTGGTGATGTGTTCAAGAAAAA